AAAAGATTTTCAATAGGTGGTGGTGGTGGTGGTGGGCMTCAGCGTAAATGGGCTACCCCAACAACAAACGTGGACTCGATTATACGACGTTAAGGAAGCATCGTTCGACTGAAAATCGATCGATCGACAACCAACCAACTTCTCTCTTTCTCAATAATCCAAAAAGGATTCTTTTCAAGCTCTCCTTGCGTACTACTTATACACCCTTGATACAGAAGCTCTGATGATAGGTGGTGAGGAGGGGGGGGGGGTGAGGGGTGAGGGCTTGGCGAATACGCGTCCCGTTTTATTATCAAGTTTCACGGATATTTATTTTTACCGTTGGTATGAAAAGAAATTCTACTTACGTTTCTAAAAGTATTTTTCTAACTTCTCATTTCTTTTCTATATCTTTCATCATCCATGAGAAGTGCTATTTCGTGAAATCGCAACGAAGTATCCCTTCCTCACTATGAAACTTTTCATTTGGAATTGAAAGATAAATTGAGAGAAACAAGAAAAAGTAAAAAAAAAAAAAAAAATAGAAACACACACACAAAACCAAAATCAAGATAACTTTTTTGAAATGATAGAAATATTAATCGGTTACCTTTGTATTTTATACACACATAACTATTTCCATTCGAAATTAAATGCGAACGAGTATGTGGAACAACGTTGGACAGGTTGGTACGTCGTCACGTCGACGCAAACATTTCCATCCGTGAGATTAAAAAATCGTATCGCTTCCCCTAGGGCGAGCTTCATTGCGGCTACCTGAATATATATTTTTTCTAACTCACGTTTGTTTACTTAAATATATATATATATAGTTATACTAGGGGTGCCCCGGCCACGCGTTGCTGTGGCTTTTTTGACGTGAAAACTTCTTTATATATATATATATATATATAAATAATTAAATTATAATACAGCATCATCTATTTAATACTTAGAGAAGCTAGGTACTTAGATAACCTCTAAATAATAAATCATTAAATTAGCAATAAAAAATAAAAAAAGTTAATCGCGATAAAAACTATCCTATATATACATAAAATAAAAAAAATGTCATTAAGATCGGTTGAATAGTTTTAAAGTTATTAGTGGACAAACAACTTGACACGTAATTTATATATATATTAAAATGTGTATATTTCAGGAAGTATCCAAAAAAAATATCATGGACGTCAATTCATATAACGCATACGTTCCCATTTTTTTTTTTTTAAATATACATATGTGAACATTATTAATAAATTCCAATCTTAAAACAAATGTATGTAAGATGATCTAAATAATTAAAAATATAAAGTAATAAAAATCGATAATTTACAGTTAAACGAATGAAGTAAAAAGTTTTTGCCACACCGATCGAATACTTTAGGTTGAAAGCTTTGTAAAAAAAAAAAAAAAAAGAAAAGAATACTCAATGTCGTCCTTATTTTCTCTTCCTTTCTTTCTCTACTTTTTCTTTTCTTTCCCCATGATCCCAACGACCCCCCTCCCCCCACGTTTCTTTCCTTCCCTCCCTATCTCACGAAAACAATAAAAGCTTCTAGAGGTCGGAGCTGTAGTAGAGTTTTTCATTTAGTTGAGTTTCGAAGGAAGAAAGGGATCTCATTTCAGAATACCGGAGCTCTCTTTACGCCTTTGGCTTTTCCGGCTTCGCGGCCGTAGGGGATTTTCCTAAGGATATGCATAATAGTCGAAAAGGGAAGGGGGCTTTTTAAAACACCCACCAACCCACTCCCCATTTTAGTAACCTACCCACTAACCACCCCATCTACCCACTTTGGATTTTCCTACTGCAAATAGATAAATAATTAAACCATGATTAAAGCTTCACCAAGGGATATCCTTATAATATCAGTTGAAATAAAGTCAAAACAAAAGAATCTTCTACTAACCTGTCTGTCTCTCAGTAATTACAGCTCGTTTAACGAATAGGATCATAATATCCAATAGCAACAAAACTTTTCATACATATATCTGTCTTATAGTATCTTCCTCTTATTACTATCGATCAAGGACAAGTGAAACGAACCTCAGTCGACAGTGTATACGTGTGTGTGTGTGTTTTACTTGAGATATTTATCGTTCTCACGGCAAATTCCATGGTAATGGATACGCCTGTGGTGTTTATACGGAATGGAAGTACTACTATTCAAATATTCCTTTACTATACTACTAGTACTAGAGAATCCGTCGCTTAGACAAGATGTAAACCTGGAGATGAAACATGATTCACCGTTTCCTCAGGATTATTCTACAGAAATAGAACACTTCCTTCCATTAACTTCTTCTTMTTATTATTATTCTCTGTCTCTACCTTGTCTTTTGGATCTCAACACTGTAGCAATAGCATGGAATATCTCTTTAAGTAGTATTGTCCTTTGTTAAATATTTAACAAATATAACGTTGTGTCAAGCGTGGATACCTACAAGGTAAAAACGATTCATTTATTTATTCAATAAGATAGAAGAATGCTATTGAAATTGTAATAGAGATGAAATATTATTTTAACATGAAAAGTAATATGAATAGAATACAAAAGAAGATTGTTTAATGAAATCAAATCGAAACGATATATTGAATGGTATCATAAATAAACATTTTACTTTTCATAATGTAGCTTATTTATCAAACAAAGTAATACGTGTGTTACTTTGTAACAAGATTTTTCCCAATTAGAAAATCCCTTTCGTTTTCGTGCGCAATCAATCGTTGTTTCGTGATAAACTGAAACGTTTTGCATTTACAACGATATATCTGTTAGAGATAATAGAAATGGTATGAAGGGATTACGAGGAATAGGTTACGGGAGACAGGTGGAACGATTTCATATCTAACATCTCGCGGCCTATTATTCTCGCGATAATTTAAGGACGAGTAGGTCGGTAACGCACGCGTGAGCGCATGAACAAGCGCACGAACAAGAATGTATCAAGTTAGTTTATGCGATGGCATTGTCCGTTGGCCCTTAGGTGTTATTTATGATAAGGTTTTGTTACCATCCAAAAACGGAAGATGTACTTCGCTTAAAGTGCTTCACCATGGATGCGAATAACACAATAGCACGATTCCTACGATACTCTACACTACGAACAAGCAAACGCAAGGTAATTAAGGATTAGTGCGGTGATTAGCAGAGCCCAGCAATGGTATTTAAATCTCGATGGAACGATCTGTGAAGCGAGTTCTATTCGTAGGTATAGTAGTAGGCCTATGTTCCTCTCTCTCTCTCTCACTCACTCACTTTGAAACTACCGATTATACTTACGCGCAGAGGCGATACTTAAACTACCATACCACAACGTTGGACGTCCCAATTAACGAGAGAAGTATCTTCTAATTAGGCACTAACCATTATTCTAATTTTCTTCAGTCTCGAACTTCATCAACCTTCGCCCCCGACCCATCTCCCATTACCACATCTCTTACCGTGGAAACGAGTATCAACGACGTAGTCGTTGATCCTATAGATTTCGTTCTCTCTTATTTTTTCTCTCGTTGGATGCTTTTCAAATAAAATACAGATAAAAATCAAAATCAAAATAAAATGAAAAAAAAAGTCAACGGCAAGGGTAGTACGTGTAATATAAATGTAACTTAAACGTACGTTACCTATCGGTGTTTCAATTTTTATCGTCTATCTCGTATAAAAATTAAATTAAACAATGAGATTTATCGGTGAATAGAGTTCCGACGTCGACACGAAACTCGGACTATCGAGTGCTAATAAATCCACCGCGTTATCGTTCGAAATACGGTAATAGTATTAAGTTGATGGGCGAAGATCGAAAGCTTCTCTCTCTCTCCCCCATACCTGTCGATATCCGAGCTAACCTGACGGCTACTCTGCTCGTAGATTTACGGCATTCCGTTTGCTGGATTATTCAATAAATTATTCGACGACGTTAATTATCCGGCTGTCGCTTGATCGCCATCGAAAACCGTCAAGTCGTTAATGTTCTGAATAATCGAACTCTTCGGGGAAAAAAATATATATAGGTATCTCAGAATGAGTTAATAAGAGAAATAACAAAAAAAAAAAAAAAATTATA